ACTGTTACTTGTCAATATATGACTTGTTTACTGTGAAATTTGCAGATGACGCCACTGTTACTGATTCTGATTCTGAACATTATTATCGTCAAAGCATTGACAAAACCGTAATGACAGTTTTTTATCAAACCTTTATTCACAGTGTGTTGACCTACAATTTTCTATGTTGGTATGGGGATCTGTCTCATCGCAACAAAAACAGACTTTTCAAAATTGTTAATACTGCTTGCAAAATTTCTGGAGTGTATTTCGAGTATAGTCAAAAAAGGCAGCTAAACTTAGATTTGATAGTTGACATATTTGATCTCACCATTTTGAACTACTTCCTTCTGGACGCTGCTGTCGATTACCTTCCCTCAAAACAGCTCGACAGTCTTTCATACCATCAAGTATTCGTGAATGCACCAAATATTTTGAATCACCATCATGTGATTAGAACTAGAATTATTCAGCCTCTTTACCTATGTGGTTAATTGAATTATATCATGTCAGTTTTATTTGTAAATAGCATTCGTTTTGAGCATGTAATTATTGTGTATATTTTTGTGAACTGTGTATGTATTCATTTTGAGACAGTTTGGATGTATGAGAACTTCCTCCGGGATAATAAAGTTATATCTTATCTTAATATTAGACGTTAACGGTCGCTCATGCTTAGCACATGGCAGACAGTCCGTCAACGTCAATAATTCGAGTTATCTCCCCTTTTCGAGTCCTCGAGTCCTTGGAAATGGACTCGAGTCCAGCTAAACCCGACTCGCCCTCGAGTACTCGAGTACCCGTGGAAGCCCTACTTACAAGGTGGTGTTTTTATTATGATTTTACCGTTTTGTTAACATGTCTTTCGATCCAAATTGACAGCTATTACTAACATCAGTACGTGTGTTTTCTGATGAAAAAGCATATCGGCCAAACGTTCGTGCCTAAAAAAGGCAGACGTGGTAAAACGTTCCGTATGACATTCGTGAAAATGAAAATGCACGTGAATATCGTGACAACCCTAACAATGAAAGCAAGTCCTAAACTCGCGTGAAATCATTCTTGTTTTTTGACACAATCGCCATGCCACGACTTATGAGAGATCAGAGGACCCAAGCCGTGGGACGATTGCAGACTGCACGTAGGGTAGCCATGCAATCATTTTAATGTTCATGTTAGGACAATCTACCAAGTGCAGGAGCGGTATCAGGCCTCTAACAACGCCCAAAGCCGTACACGCAGTGGACGACCTTCAGTAACACCACAACTTCAAGACCGACCGATTGTGCGCGAACATCTGGAGGATCGTTTCACCAGAGCGACGGAAACAGCACGCCAGACCATTGGGACTCACAGCAGATTTAGACCCATTTGTGCCGAAACAGTGAGTTGACGTTTGCGCGTAAGAAACCTCTGCTGTCACAAAACATCACACATATCGTACCCATTTGCAATCTTTCCAGCACCTCCTGTCCTAACAGAGGGTTCAGTCGATGTTGACATGTTAATGACATGCCCCGAATGGTCGATAGTCCGGGATGCCCTGGCAGTTAAGGATCCAACGCTGTTGATGCGGATGACGCCACTGTGCGACTCCGGTTGCGCAGATGGAGAACTTACAGGAGTTAGTCATCTATTGGGGTAGTCACTCGGGTTCTCCAGTTCCTGGACTGTGAGAGGTCTGGGCAGTCTGGTTGACACATCTTATTAGTTCAGTAGTGTGGCTGTTCGAAGCCCCATCTGCAACATTCCAATGGCTCGTTCTCGCTCCGCTGCTGATCATCCTGGCATTTTAATGTGTGCCTAGGCTATAACAGGTTTTACCACTAACGATCTCAGTTGACTGTGCTTTATACTGTTTGTGCATATAGTTCACGCACGTGTGATCATGATTTTCATGAAATCCCTCGCACAACACTGTAAAGGATTTCTGTTGTGTTGTGGTGGCACTTACGCAATGTCATTACAAAACACCAGGAGAGTACTTTCGTTTGTACAAATAATATTGAAACTTCATTTTCAGAATGTTATGTTTGAACGGAAAATTATTTCAGTATCTCTTCCCAGAAAAACAATAACTTGTTGATGAGTATCAAACGACGGTCAACCATATCATGTACTTAATGATTTCCTGAAATTGTATATTATGTACATGAATGTTAAAATGTGGTGTGTACTTTCTTTTTCTCAAACAGCTGTATCCGCCCCCGGCATGTAAAACCTGCATCGATGTAGTGACAAGAGTATGTGAAAACGTTAATCAGCTGGGATCGTCCTTTTAAGAAAACGTGCATGGAACATAACTCATGAAACTACAGTTTGTAAACAACTAAGGTATATGACGGTGAGTTATCGCCTGGTGCAACCAGGACATTACAAACACAGGCCATATTTATGAACACTGGCATGAGCTGCCAATATTTACCCTAAAAACCCACATCAATTCACTGAAAAGAAACATTTCCTGTGTCTTACAACTAGGTCTGAATGTAAGTACATTTGAACATAGTGTTCAAGTAAGTAAGGACTCCCACATCACTAGCAAACCATGTCAGTTTAATATGTTTCCTCTGTAACCCGACCCCTGAAACGGTTTCTTGCAGATAATAGACCCTGAACCTGCGGCAAATCTAGACTTGCTCCACCTATGGCCATTGAATTACAGTAATGGTTTGGTGGAGAAGAAACTTACATGGTTCAGGGACTGAGACAGACAAATCCTCTTCGTGCTTCCTCAATATCTCACTCATCACCGAAAAGGAAGTGATGTCTGGGAAGGGACATCACGCCCTTGAGACCTTTGAGGATCCTCTGTTTTTTAATGCAGGGGGATATACAGTCGACGCCTCGTCCGCCTGTCCCTAATCATTTTGTTTCCGGAGCATAATTCAAAAACTATTCAACATTGTTCAACAAAATTTGGTAAATATACACCTGGAACTAAATTAAGCACACCTCTACTTTCTGGATGATGAGAAACAAAAAGTGCTGTAACTCTCTCACTATTCCAAAGATAGTGGAACCTTAGCTATTGTGAAACATACGATCTATTGGCAAATGAAAATCAAGACAATGATTCCAATACGTGTTGTTTTAATAGCGTAACCAATGTGATTTGGTCACTATTGATTCTTGATGAAAATAGTCACTGAACAAGTATGGTCGTAGCATTGTCAATGGCTGACTATTACAAGAAATGATGCACAAGGAATGTCACATGTTAACATCTGATGGGTCTGGCATCAGTATCGGGTGTATCCCCCACGTGCTTGGATGACAGCTTGAATCCTCCTCATCATGCTACTGGTAAACCTTCTGATACGATCAATTGGCAATTGCAGCCATTCTTCATGCAAAGCAGCTTCCAGCTGTGCAAGATGCTGGAGAGGGGGTTCTCTCAACCTCACACGGCGTCCAAGAAAGTCCCAGATGTGCTCCAAAGGATTCAAATCGGGGCTCATTGCTGGCCAAGGTAATGTCATGATAGCCTCATTCTGGAGATATGCGGTCACAGCACGTGAACGATGCGGCCTGGCGTTGTCATCCATGAATATCAGGTGAGTAGCCAACGGGTGGTTGTCAAAGTGAGGCACGACAACTGGATTGGGAATATCCCGGATGTACTGCTGACCATCAAGATTTCCTCGGACAGTCACCATTTGAAGTTTACAGTCGTGTGAAAGACAACTCCAGATCATAACCGATCCTCCACCATAAGAAACAGTAGGGTGGATATTCCTGGGCACGTAAGCAGTGTTTTTATGCCTCCACACTCTCATTCGACCATCTGTAACGTGGAGGAGGAACCTGCTCTCATCTGACCAGTGGACCATCCTCCATGTCCTCAGGTTCCACTGGCGACGGGCCATACACCACTCCAGACGTCGTCTCTTATGGAGATCAGACAGAGCAGGACGTTTGATGACTCTTCTGGACCTCATACCAAGTGCCCTAAGGCGATTTCAGACGGTTCTGGTGGATAATTGTCTGTAGGGTAACCACAGGGGCTTCAAAACCGAACTTGTGGCAAAGGGTTCTCGCCTTACCAGACGTGCCAGGCTGCGATCATTACGGGCCGTTGTCTTCCTGGGTTGTCCAGGCCTTGGACGATCTCTCAAATCTGTCATCTGATGTTTTCGGACAAGTCGGCTGATGACCGAGTGACTATAGCCCAGTTGTCGTCCAACAGCTTTGAAGGACATGCCTGTTGCATGCATGCCGACAATTTGCCACCTTATTGCTTCAGAAAGTCTTCTCCTCGCCATTTCAGTATTCATTAATGGAGACAGTTATAAATTTGTCTGCTTTTATACCCATAAATTGCATGTCAGAGAAACTGAATTTTGGGAAAAGTGTGGGTTGTATGCTTCACGTGCACAAGGGATGCGTTGTGACGAGTGCAAAGGAACTGAAACACCTTTTTAGACTACTAGAGATGTGTTGTAATACAGAGATATCATTCATGTTTAACGATGGTTAACAGTTGCTCTACTATCATGAAATATATCAGGGGGTGCTTAATTAAGTTCCAGGTGTATATATAAAACAAAACCTAAAGTGGTGCCTTTTGCTATTTACAGATTTTTGGCATTTATATTTTTCATAATTTCCGTGGAAACGATTTGGACTTAGTCTAAAAAAATCAAGTTGGACTTTCAGTCACTGTGAGATGATTTGTTCTTTCAAATATGTGGGTACCGGCGGATTTGTCGTCTTCTGATGACTCTAGTTTTCTGAGGGACGACTATACTTGTAACCAGGAAGCAACATTTTCCCGCCTGCTTCCTTGGATACTGTCCAAGATTTCAATAACTTCCTTAACTCCCCCTGGAAGGTAGAGGAGCACGAACATCTCAAGTCGTTAGTCATGCACATCGTCCACTTCGTTAAAACAACCACACTTGGCATAGGCAGGTGGAGAGGATGCCGGAACCCTCCACCAACACTACTTTCTAAAGTTAGGATTATGTCTGAACGATCTAGGCTCCTCCTGTTATTTCTTAAATCAACAATATGTCACAATGTCGCAAATAACTTCAAATAACTTCAGAAATACGTTCGTCACCAGCACACAGATGAAAAAGGTTACTGTTGTCGTACATGCGTAAGAGACCTGGGGCTCGTAACTCGAAGCAGTCTTTAAATCAGCTCCTAACGCATGGTTAACGAACGCTTTAGTAACGTCGTTAAACAAATTAAGAAGTGTATCACAAAGCATTCGCTGAACAATCCTTAAGCGTTCGTTAGGCGTTCCTTAAAAAAGCGTAACTCGGAATATAGACAAGGGTTGTGTAGCAAGCATTGTGCAATGGCAGACAGCACGACAAATCAGATACTGCAGGCAGTGCTAGCACAGTTACATGTGACACTTTGTACTGGTCCATCTGGATAGTACTTTTAGTTGCGAAACTTTTTGAGTTCACTCAGAACACTACCGACAGTTTGTTCATTGACCGCAGCACAATATTGGTAATCTGCAGCTGCGTCACTTGCCGCTCTATTCAACATCTACATTGCAATCTTGGTAGAACTGATTTAGATAAATCCGAAATTGCTACAGTTCTTGAAATTTCCAATCTTAAGTGTCAAACGTGTTCTAATATTTAGTTGAAATGGAACAGGACAACATTTCACAAAAGCCGACAAAGGGAAAGAAAAATTGGAATGCCCGGTTTAACGACGAAGAGAGATCGATTCTCGTAAAAGAATTTTCTAACCAATAAAAAAGTTTAAGTCAACAAATTTTCAAAGAAAACAAAAGGCTTGGGAAAAATCTGCAATGCCGTTAATCGCGTAAACCCATCAGTTATAAGAACAATTTCGGAACTTAAAAAGAAAGGGCAAGACATAAAATCATCCACTAAAACAAAAGAAGCATTACGAAGAAAAGAAATGAAGAAAAGTGGAGGCGGTAAAGTTTGTTTTGATACCCTGGACGAAACAGAGCAATTTGCTGTTGGGATTATTGATGACACTGCCATCGAAGGTGTTGAGGAGGACATTGGCACGTTTGTCGGCGAGCCATCCACGTCTACAGCTGTTGTGAAGCATTATGTCCATGTAGATGAAGTTGTAAATGAACTAGCAGCCATCGAAGACATCATTACTAAATCAGAGTCCTCAAAATCGATGACATCAACAAAACAAAGAAAATATCCGAAAACCTTGAACGAAAATAATGATGAGGAACTAATAAAAATTGAAAAAGAAAGACTGGAAATCGAGCGTCAACGATGGGCTGTTGACAAAAAGACGTCTTGAGCAGAAACTCAAAATAAAGAAACTGAAAATGGCAATTCAATTCCCTGAATACGCTGCCTATTTCAATGACTTGTCGAGTGATGTTGTTTTCCACTACCAAGAGAAGGGATGCAGTACCACAGACAATAAAGAAGGAGAAGCACTACCACACATCACCATCCACAGGGACAAAGACTACACGAACTGGTGATGTGTTCATACATGTTTCTGAACGTTTTCTTACTTAATTTCAAATTGTTTTGATTGTTCATTACTTTGTATGAATGTCACAGTTATGAAAAGATTTTTCGACTGTTAAAACCATATATTGAAATCATGACAAATGAAATATTTTGAAATCAGGTTGTTTTATTCGCAATATTTACAAAGATTATGCATGTTGAATTGTGTTTTACACGTTGGTCTTTTTCTGTTGACCTATCATTTCCTGGAAAATATTGTTTCAATTAAATTGTTTCGAACTCCAAAACCATTTCTTTGCTGTTGATTTCCAAGCATCAAGCAGTCATCATCATCCTGATTTTCATTGTCATCGTCTTCATCGTCATCAAGTTCTTCATGAAGTGGTAGGCCATTTGCAATGCAAATATTGTGCAGCATTGCCTGTGCAACTATTATCTTGCAACATTCTGAAGGTTCAAATAGTATGCACCCTCCAGATTTGTGAAGACAACGAAATCTCATCTTCCAAACACCGGTTGCCCTTTCACTTGTGTTTCGGGTTTTACGCTGAGAGATGTTATACCGTTGTTTGTTTGGTCTGGTAGGATTCAATATAGGAGTCATCAGCCATGGAGCACATGCATACCCGCTGTCTCCTAGCAACCAACCATCTCCCACCAAGCCTTGTTCAAAAGAATGCTTCAGGTTGCACATATTCCAAATATGAGAATCGTGAGTGCTGCCAGGCCATTGTGCAACTATGTTTGTTATTTGCAGTTGACCCCCATTCACAATTTGCACATTTATGCCATGGTATCCTTTCCTAGACACAAACAAATGTTCATCTTTTGTTGGCGCTTTGACTGGGATTATGGAACCGTCTATAGATCCAAGCACATTTGGAAAGTCAGCTATTTGGTTGAAATCAGCTTTCATTTTCTGTTTTTCAACTTGTGTTATTCAAAAATGAACATACTCATTGGCATGTTTGCACAATGACGTTGAGACAGCGTGGTCACATCTTGAAGCTGCCATTTTGGACAACCCTTGTACATCTGCACAAACGGTCAAGAAACACCCAGTTGCATAATAACGAAATGCTGTGACCACTTGTAGTGATACACTTAGAGCATTTGACCGACATGTAGGACGTGCAATATCATCTCTTATTAAATCACAGGGTTCAAAACTTGTGGTCTGCTGAGTCTGAATCTTGCTTGTATTTCACCATCATTCAATTTATCTAACGGATTATTACTGTCGCGCAATACACGGCTGACATTATGGATTCTTCGTTTGTTCCCATTTCTCACGTAGAGATAAACTGCCATTTTGATAGGTTGATATGGATCACGACCAGTTAAAGACTGCTTAAAGGTTGGTCAGTGGTATACCTTAAACACAGACGCTAACTTGCCTTTTAAGGATTGTCCTAACTTTAAGAATTGCTTCGAGTTACACACCGATAAAATAAAGTATGCTTAACGATTATCCTTATTTAAAGACAATCTAACGAGTGCTTCGAGTTACGAGCCTCTGAGCTGTAGGAAACGGTTATTTGCCCTTTTGTTTCTTAAAACGTGTAGTGAAATGTGATATGTGATATAGTCTCATTACATTTGCATCTGTTGAAACTGCAAATCATGGAATGATGCAATAGAAAGGTGAAACATATGTACACAAGATTATCAAAACAAGCATTGTCACTAAAGTGACATAAGCCCCGCCACAAATTATCAAATCAAACTTAAAAAAGTAATGAAAGTTTAAGATGAAGTTAAATGTCAACAAAAACATGACCAGTCAACCTCTCTTGATATCTTGCACTTTAGTTGTTCAAACACACAAATATTTTCAAGACTGACTTTGACCTTGACATGAATGTCATAGTGTATGAAATATGCAAAAATGGTACTAAAGAAATTGCTTATTGAAAAAGAATTCAAGGGAGAAGTCTTGAAAGTCTACGAAGAAAATCCAGTGAATTCAGGTTAACATGCAGAAATCTTCAGTGTCGCAGTGACCTTGAAAGTTAGGTGAAGGTCACCAAAATTGACTGGGCCCTGTGCCTTCATTAGATGAAGCTTGGTGACAAATATGAAAACAATCCAGTGAATTTTTTTGCAATATCTTGCTGACTATCTTAACATGCAATTTAACATGGTGAAATCTTGAAAGTGTCTTTGTGACCTTGAAAATTAAGTGAAGGTCACCAAAATCGACTGGGCCTGCATTTTCCCTAGATGAAGCTTGTTGTCAAATATGAAGAAAGTCCAGTGAATGGTTCTTGAGATATCTCGCTGACCATCTTCATGCAGGTTAACATACTGAAATCTTCAAAGTGTTGGCATGACCTTGAAAATTATGTGAAGGTCACCGAAATCGACTGGGTCATGCGCCTTCCCTAGATAAAGCTTGGTGTTGAATATGAATAAAATCTTGTGAACGGTTCTTGAGATATCTCACTGACAAGAGTAAAACGTTAAAGTCCCCTTGTGACCTTGAAATTAAGGTCAAGGTCTTTAAACCTGACTGGGACTTTTTTATAGTGTGATGAACCTAGGTAAAAAATATGAAAAGAATCTAGTCAACGGTTCTTAAGATATTCTAATTCGTACGTACGTACGGACGGACGGAGCCTAATACTTATCCCCCGCTTCGCGCTAAACGCGCGGCGGGGGATAAATAAATGAAATGGTATTGAGCAATACTAGACTTACAAATCATCAAAAGCATGTACCCGTGAAACAGTCGTGCAAAATGTGCTGCATTGATGGAGCAAATGTTAACATTACGGTTCAAGTCAGTTTTGGACAGTGAAGCAGATTTCAGTAACGCGTATGACCACTTTGAGCACAAATGCCAGTTTCTACACGTCTTGGCATTGCCCTAATGAGCCTTTAAAGTTGTCGTCGTGGAATGTTCTGCCATTCTCTCTGTAACGCCTGCTCAAGGTCACCCAGAGTCTGGGGGTGAACATGGAGACCGTAAACACGACTTCCAATAATGTCCCAAGCATGCTCAATGGGATTAAGATCAAGTGACCTTGCAGGCCAGTCCATTTGTGTGATGTTGTTGATCTAAAAAAACGTCGTCAACAACTCTTTTTCAGGCATTGTCATCCATGGACGGGCATTATCATCCATAAAAATGAAATTAGGACCCGCTTATTGTAGCAGAGGAATGATTACAGGTAGGTTTACACCGATCAGGGTGAATGTGTGAAGAGTGGAGCACATTCATGCCACACATTTTGCATGTTGTTTCTGAGGGTGGTTGTGTTCGGGTGATGTTGTCAATGTTATCAGATAAATCAATTTCACAGTCACTAAAGGTTGTGTATTCTTTGAATATTTACCTTTCAGTAACATGCCGGCAAAAAAATCGCTATCGAGATTGATAAAGATATCACATATTGAAAATACTTGTTGCTTCATTTTTGTGAGAAGTATAGTAAAGGGAGTGGGGAGAAAAACCGGCAGAGGTGCAGCCAATGTTAAAGCAATGGGCGAAAAGCCTGTGGTGAACTTACGTCCACGTTTCCATGTATTTTAAACCACTTTCCGATGTCATTTTCCTCCTCCACACATAGAAGTCTCAAACTACTCCTGGAAAATAGGGGCGGTGGGGTAGCCTAGTGGTTAAAGCGTTGGCTCATCACGCCGAAGACCCGGGTTCGAATCCCCACATGGGTACAATGTGTGAAGCCTATTTCTGGTGTCCCCCGCTGTGATGTTGCTGGAATATTGCTAAAAGCGGCGTAAAACCAAACTCAGTCAGTCAGTCAGTCCTGGAAAATACCGTAGAAAGCAACCTTGTGCCAGATATCGCCAATGTCGACTGTCTTGATGGCAATCTCGGTAGAACAAATCTACAACCTTTGGAGGGCCTACTTACATTTGTAGACACTTTATACGTGTTTGGTTACCTTCAACGCAAAGACTGCGTTTGCAAGAATGCCAAAGTATCCTGTACGACTGGAAGGGAAGGAAAGGGAAGGTTCTCGTAGTTTCCAGAGTCCTTGGCGACTATGGAACCAAAATATATGCAAACAAATATCCTTCATTTCTCCGTATACAGAAAAATACAAATAACACACGCCAACATTCAGCATACGGCAACACAAGACAAAAAGTAGTCCAACACACACAAGAGTAGTCCAGGAATACAAAAAGTAGTCCAATACATGCCACCGGTGGAAGTGCACCCCAATTAGAAATATGCAGGTGTATGTATATATAACACAACAATGCCAGGAACCATGCTATCGCGAGAAGCCTATGCCGAGCTCTTATCGGGTCGTTTGTTTGAAGAAGTATCACATATCGCAAGCCAGATATATCCGAACCTCCACACTGACTACTCTTGTGTGTGTTGGACTACTCTTTGTCTTGTGTTGCCGTATGCTGAATGTTGGCGTATGTTATTTGTATTTTTCTGTATACGGAGAAATGTAGGATATTTGTTGGCATATATGTACACAAGGAAATTCTGCCAAGGTGGACAGTAGCCCAGTCCCCATGTCCGTTACGGTCGAGGAGCAGGGGCTGACCAGTTTGCAGCTAGGTTTCGTAATTAGACTGTTGGCTGGAAAAATTAATCAGTGGCCCTTTAATTTAGCACCCCGGCCTGTATTTTTGCAATGATAGGTTTTCAACAGGTACACAAAACTTCTCTGCACCTCTGCCGGGTTTTCTCCCCACTCCCTACACTTCTCCTGTGGTTAAATATTGGGTTCGCCTCCTGTCTCAAGTTGAGAATGTAATCTTAAATAAGGTATATGAGTATCAGTATTGTCTTGCTGAAAAAGGTATAGATTGTTGGTCTTTTAAGGTGAAATCTCTTTTGTACAGTTATGGTTTTGGCAATGTGTGGGTCAAAGTGTTGGAAATATCTCTAGTTTC